ATATGATTATCATTTGGTAGTTGATTTCTACACAGTCATAGTTGAACATTAATTAAACATAATTCAAAAAATTGTAAGTAAGCTAAAAACATATCATTTGCTATACTGACCTTTCAAAAAAGATAAATTATAGAATGTCGTCAATCAGCAAAAATGTCACCATTAAGATGGTTTTTGGTGTTTCAGAATGAAAGGTAATGAAGAAATAAAAAATAAATAGATGAACAATAAGACAATATAATATAAACCAACCGATTCGCTATATAACTTGATAGAGATTTCTGTTTGCTCATGCAGTTTCGCCTCGCTATCACCTTTTAAAACCATTTGAATTAATCGTATTACGGATGCTGATAATGAATTCTGAACATCACAACCATAGCTGAAAATGAAAAGAAAAACGATACTAGAGGGAATAGTGGAAATATATGTAATCAAAAAGAATGAAGAGGATCAATACATACCATAATAATGCAAATCTCTGAATAAAAGTGTTCAAAAATTTTGTTGTCTAACAATTCAGGCAGATCTATAAGATCCAGAATTTGCAAATTTAGCGTAGGTATTAATGCTCAGAATCATTTATTAGAATCGACAGAAAACAACTACTTCAAAGATACAGTTTACCCACAGCCATTCGCTATTTTGCTAATAAACAAATCAAAATGTTTGACGTAATGAACTTCGCTTTTTTTCTTATAATCTATAAGAATAAGAAATAACAAACTCGAGTGCTGATGTTGGTGAATCTTCTTTGGGCATATTTCTGACCTTAGATAAATTCCATCTGTACAAATATCCTTTAAGTCCCTGATAACACTTATAATTTTATCAACAATTAATCTTTCAGATCTATTCCTGTTTTATTAAATACGAAATTATTTAGCAAAAAAATGATTAAATCATATGGCAGAATAAAAAAGCGATTATTACAGATGTAAGAAAGAAAAGTGCGCAGAAAAAAGAAAGGTTTATTAAATTCAAACATAAATCCTTAATATACACATAGATTAAATATAATAATTGTGAGCTACGTAGTACCTTTGGAAGCAAACACTGAAAGTGATAAAGATAAAGATGAACTATGAAAGTAATATGAAATCGATTAAGTTTAAATGACATAATAAAATAATAGATTACTAGCTAACTTATAGATATTAAAATTCAAGGAAGAAATGTTGAATTCAGTATTACGTTTAAGAATTTTTTATATGATCTCCTCTAAAATAAAAATTTACGACACTTACCGTTGCATCATTCATCGACGATTACACATTATCGACAATTACAATGAAAGCATAGATAATCTATTAAGTCTTCCAGTACTGAGCTATCGTGTGAACAGATAAAAATGATAACATCAATAACTATATTATCCGGTACTCATGGTAAACGGTTTCGATTCAGTTACGATATCATTACTTGGCTTTACATTTGCATATAAAGGTGGTGATCGAAGTGGCAGTGGATATGGTTCAGTGATTTCTTGCTCGTTGTAATGATTCACACAGCTGAGATCAAAAAAAAAAAATGTTAGCATAGCTTCATAAATTGTATTTTCTCACTTGAAAAACCTACACAAAAAATTTAATATACAACGAAACAAAATTAGCATAAAAAGTTTAAAAGACTACAGATAGCTACAAGATCACCCTACACTACAATTATTTAGTCGATAGATTTAAACTATTATATAGCTTTTTGGATTGGGACCAAAGCTAATAAGTACAACTAAATTAGAAATTAATGCTATATTCAGTATTCAGCGTAAAAAAAATAATCAAAAATCTCTCATAAAATTAATTGCAACAGTACAATACTGAGAAAGATGAATAATAATAGATACAGATACTAAACAATGTGGTAACTTACAAGTATGCGTGTTTACCACCTGTTAATTCGAATTCAACAAGCCGAGTAATCCCAAGATCCTCTAACATTGGACATCCAGTAAGTACATCACTTGTACATTCAACCACTCGAATCCATTCTATGCTAAGTGGTGACGGATTACGGAAGAACTTAAATGGTAACTCAACAGCGGCTACATATGCCCTGCAATAAACGTAAATTTAAAAACTATTTACCAGTTATCATAGATATGTATGTAAACCAAATTTTATGAGAAAAAAAAATTTAATACCTATATAAGTAATTTAGATTCCGACGACGATAATTTCGATGCAAGAAACGTGATGATAGATGAGCTCGATCATACATATAGTCAATTAATTCAGACAGTTTATAACAGTGTGGTCCAACAAATTCGTATGTTTTACCAATAGCATGTGGATCTACGATAGTTCTCTCAACACCTTTTGATACATCACCAACCTGTAAGTGATATCGTTACTGTATAGCTTTTTCATATATAAATGATTGAAAGTGGCAAAGAGAACGACATAAAATCTCATCATTTTGGAAAATTGTAAGCAAATTTCTGATTGGAAAACCAATACTGAATTTACATTGCGATTGTAGAAATTGACTTATCGTTACTTTTGAAGAAACGAATACATATTCCATTCCTTTTTCTCTTCTATCACATAGCAAATATGTTAAGAATGCCTAACTACTACATATAAAAATCATAGTATTTGCACATAAGTAATGCAATACTAATAGAACACTGTGATCTTTAATTACATTGCAATTCTCGCAAATATATATTTGCAACACTGATGAAATTTAGAATTTATTTCATATCTAAAGCATAAGGATATTACCCAGATGGGCATTTTGTATGTATGCTCGCCCTTCCTGTAGACGAAAATCAGGCTTCTGTGCGGAATGCGCTGAATTGCTAGAAAATAATTAATAAATGCATCGTAATTTCCTCCATACATCATTCCTGGTCTGAAATTTCGGTGCATTGAAAAATCTTACATATAAAAGGCTGATTAGTTTTATACAAACTTCTGTATACTTCTATATATATGTAGCTAATGAATAGATGTATCAACCTGAATACTTCAAGTGATGTAGAATATTTCAAAAAAAAAAAGCATCACAAATAGTAATTTCTATCCTGTTTTAACACTCTGTTAGTACTATTAGAATTTTAAAAATAGAGTAACTTCCTAGAAATTTAGAACCTTATGATAGTAGCGCTTGGGAATTCTTCACGGACAACTTCTTCGCCAAGTCCTTTGGTGCGAAGAAATTGTGATGGTTTATTGAACAGTGTCGGTGGAGTATTCTTAGAAGCATTCATTGCCGACATGTGAATAAATCTGAAAAAAGATCGTATATTTATGATCCAGTCGATAATTTCTCTGAAATCAATAGAACTCAAATCTAAACTTTAAATTTTAACAAAATTGTGACGCTGACTTTTGTATTCCCATTTCTTTGGCAATCCGAGCAATTCGTCGAGCTCCTTCAACATGAGTCTCTTCAAATGAATAATTTTTTGTTTCGTATCTTGCACCAATTAAATTTACAACTACATTGCTGTATCTGATAGCTTGTCGAATACTTTCCTCATCTTTTAATTGAAATGGTAATAGCAGTACTTGACCAAGTTCACCATGTACCTAAATTATCAGATTTGCTTTTAAAATGACAAAATTCTTACATAGATTTTTTGACACCCTACATAACAATCAAATAAAATGAATTCTGTAAACTAAATGTGCAATATCTCATATTTTAGACCTCGGAAAAACAAAAGAAGAAAAATATCTTTTATCCCAAAAACTCTTTACTGAAGAGAATAATCAAAACGAGAAAATGAACTCTTAGTTGTCGAGTGTAATATGGATCTTGTCGACTTGGCAAAATAATTTGATGACCCTCTTTTGCAAGTCTATTTATCAGTAACCTGCCCAATAATCCAGTACAACCGAAAACAGTTACAACGTTGCCAGAGAAGCTGCATCGACCACCTGTTCCCTGTAATGCATGTTCGAAAAAGCCAAAAATTAAAACTGATAAAACTGGAAATGCGTCTTACACCAAGATCCTTGTAGTTTAATAATGTTTACCTTTCTGAATGCAGCAAGTTTACTCGTTGGACTCGGTTTCGGCAAATCAAGTTGAGTGGCTGATGTACTACAATAAAACGCCTTGCAAAGGTTACCTTCAATACCCAATATACGACATCGTCGAATACTACCAACAATGAGCATTTTCAGTTCCTCTAAAAATAAGTCTCTCAATTTGAAAATGTTTCTTTTGAGAAACCTACAAATATATGTATGAATTTCAATTTCATAAAAAAAATCTAAAACACTGGAACAAAATTGGGATCGTTAACACCCCTTGTTACAGCATATACGTACGGTGACTTGAAAACCATTTCTATATTTCATGTAAACACTTTTTTCACAACTGGTAAACTCTCAAATATTAGATTTATAAAATTTGAAGGGATCAATATAGTATTAACCCTTAAACAATTGGTATTATCATTATGCGAAAAAACAAAATATAGTTAAGCAAAGAATGCATATCCATAATTGTTTAGCAATTCATAAAAGAAATGGTACTATTTATTTGCACTGTGAGCAAAGAAAAAAATCAGTACATGGCAAATCCCCATAAATATCAATTTCACTAGATTTCCTAAATAAATCAATCCTAACACATTTACTACTCAAGAAATAAATATACATGCACATGATACTGAAAGCTAAATTTACAACAGCACAGAAAAAAAAAATACCTTAAAATTACAAAAATATCATAATTCAATACTTGTCTAGCAAATAATTATTATTACACATATTATCACAAAAAAATTCTTTAAAATATGAATAAATAAAAAAGTCAATAATATATCAAGTTTTTGACTACCCGCTAATCTTCACTGTAAAGCTAGTCAATATCATTAAAAACAATCTGTTGAGCAAAACGTTACTAAAAATAACACGTCGATTGATTGTTAGTTAATTTGTTGAAGAAATCTGAGCACTTATTTCTGTATGAGGTGACGTATAAGGCGCGCTCCTATAATGAGAAACAGAACGTTTCAGATATGAACTCGTCTAGTAGTTTTCTCAGGAAGAATTATCCAGTCCATACGCACCACCACTCTAAATATAAATAATTTAATGCAAAGTTACCATGACAACAAGATATATACATGTATAAACTAACACATTCACATACCTACATACAATTGTAATTATTATTACACATATTATCACAAAAAAATTCTTGTCTATGACAATAAAAATATGGATCGACAGAGCTACGAACACTCATAGACATAAACATAGGGATTCTGATCGATATAATCAGTTGGAAAGTTGAATAAAATGAAGCAGCTACTAATGGGTTATTTAAGAAATAGAATTACATCTAAAATAAGTATGACTGAAGATGGTTTGTTAAAATTCAAAACTCAAAAAACTTGCATCACCTTAAACCAATAAATAAGTTATTGAAATTCATAAAAATTATGGACTTACATTGATAACATGACATTCTTCCTCGGATATTTGCTTACGACGAAGAAATGAAGGTAGCTGCCAATCCTCAATTAAGTCGCCTCGTTGAATGTTAGTTTTTACTGCCGATGGTGATACATTCGATGAAGAAAGCAACTTTTCTGCAAATCAAATTTCTTCGAAAGAAAAATCATCTCAAATGATTACTAGAAGATTAATTTTAATACAAAATCTCAGTTCAATTGATTAAGCTGAATTAAATAACTTATTTTAACTCACACCAGTTCAGTTGAATACAACGGAAGTTTCTAAAATATTCTGGAAATATTGCATGGATCAAATCAGAATAAAAACTAGGGTATTATTAACATAAAGGACCAACCAGATACTGATGAAGATTTTGATTCACATATCACTGGTGATAAGGTTGACCTAAAAAAGTGACAGAGAAATTGCTACAACTCTATATGGAAAACCTTGGATAGTTTTAATACTTCTGACTAATCGATGGAATTTTGCCGCTTCAGAATACGAATAATAAAATATATACCGATCATAGTGAGGTCGTGGAAGTCGAGCACCAACGAATTTGATTAAGGGCTTGCGCACGTGACTCTAAAAACAAAAAATCAGACATGCAAATTAGAAAACTAGACAACACTTTCTTGAATCAATACAGCTATCTCGTCTTATAAATAACTGGAAGTCAAAAGTCCTAGCATAATTATATCACTCTATTCATATGATTACTAAACAGCTAAAGCAAGTTGTGTACAAATAACTTTTAGTCAGAATTATGCCGAAATGATATAATAAGCACCAGCATATATGGAAAGTTTTAATTTATGCTTCGATAAAAAATAAACTTGAAACTAACGCTAAGCATTATGTTATTTGATAAATTATTCACAACTACTGATAAATGGGAATTCATCTTTTCCTCAAACTTTTTGAGATGTATTGTTCTGTTCTGAGTACTACTGCAGCAAATATTCCCAGGTTCTTCAAGTTTACGTTGAATCAATGCCTCGCTAGTTCTTCCTAATTTTCCAACGCAATTTTCCGACTCCAATCTCTGTAAAAAATAAAAAGAAAACATACTGCTAGAATTTTCCCAAAATAATATACCAAGTTCGAAGAAATCACTTTGAAAAAAATTGTAAGGATAGGAACTTGAAGCAGAATATAAATTAGGAAAAACTTTCAATTAATAGAAGTGAAAATTTCCATCACTTTTACACAACTATTAGGACTGAGAGAAAACAAGATCTTATTGAAAAGCAGGAATACCTTGAAAGATTCCCTTTGAAAAATTGAACAGTACAGTTTAGAAAGCCACTGAAAAACCGAGAAAAACCTGAAAATGAAATTATATTCAACCCTACCACATTATATGAAACGAGAAATTTGAAGTTACACGTTTTCCACGCTTTGTCGGTGCGAGATGACTGATTTTATTTGTCTAGTTATTCATCCTAACCTTCACACTTTAGAATTCAACACAATTCATTCGACACAAAGAGAGATACTTTCAATATGAACAAGAATTCTTTTAACTAGTTGATCATCAATCCACGAAACTATAAGTAACTAAATTATCACTACAAAGATAGCAACTACTTTCGACCTGTAACAAATACAAACACAAACACACACAAAAAAAAAACTGCATGCAAGTTCACACGAGATTACTCACTCAAAAAATTTCAAACACAGAAATGAAATAGAAATTTTAACCGTTTCGCTACCATAATGCTTATTTGGCGAAATAATTTCTAGCAGAAGATATTGTCTGCTCCTGCACTCAAATTTCATCGTTTTTCCACATCTGAAATGATTCCTTTTATTGGAAATTTCATCAATATTATTTCAGCTAAAATATAAAATATTCCCCAATTTTTGTATTTATCATTAGCTTAGTTATGGCAATGTTTATTTTAAATTAGCACAATTTTTATTACTGAGCAAATAACAGATAATAACTAACAATTGATATGACAGTTGAAAAGTTTTAAAATTAATGCATAAAATGAATTTATCATTGAAGAGAAAAACTTCTTCCATGCAGTAAGATCATTAACTTATTGATGTAAACAAAGTTTATTTTAGCACAACCAGCTGACCCTATCCTACTAAATCAGCTCAATGAAACAAACGTCCGTAAGAGCGTTCCGGTAGAAATGCCCGGCTTTGACGGCCCGTGGAAAGTGGTTGGTTAGTACGTCTCGTGACAATAAACTCTCCGTCATATTGAATCTCTCATTTCTTGATGTCTGTCTGATTTGAACTTAATTTGAACTTTATGTTGTTTTCTTCAATGCGTATATTGTCAAAAGTAATTCTAAAATTATGATAAATATAGTATGAAAATTCTATTATAATAACATCGATGTTCTAGCAATTTCACTCATAAATTTTTATCATTTGTCGAATTCAAGCAATTTATTATTATTATTATTTTTTTTTTAAAGTGGGAAATTTAACTTTCATCTCAAAAATTGCTTTATAGATAGAATATGCTACATGCTTGTTATGTATAAGTTTATTATTTATTTAATTAAAATTTGTTTTATCACTAATATTTTTGTTACTAAATTTCTAAATTTTTGTGTATTTGTGATTTAATCAGATTGTTAAATGGTTTCGTTACTAATTTTCCTTACTAGTTGCAGTACAGTACTTATATGTATTTGTGAATTAATCAGTACTATGCATCGCTTAAATTATTTTATTTAGTATACAGGCTAATCTGTTATGTTTGGTGATGAAAATAGAAACAGCTTGCTGGCAACAGTTATATTTCGTCCATTATATATGAGAAAATGGTTGGATTATTTAAAATCAGCTAGTAGTTAGTTTAATTTTTGTTTGTTTATATTAAGAATCAACTCCGTATGCGCTCGATTTATTTTTTGGAAATTCTTTGAATAACAGTTGCTCTCAAATTCCTCCAGAAAATGAAATGAAAATAAGATTAGAATGATGCACTCAAGTCATAAAATGGATTTCACGTAACTGTGAAAAGATTGAGGTTTTAAAATGTGAAATTTTATGCAAATACATTGTAGATGATGTAAACGACAGTAATTCTGCTTGTGTTAATGTGGCAACAAGTGGACAAAATGATGATGAGAGCACGTTTTCCTCATCTTATATGTTCAAAAGATTGAAAGAATTTTGCACCGATGAAAGTACTTTTTTTTTTTTAAATCGTAGTTAACTGATTAGTAAATTTGAATAGTACAACAGTAAAAGAATACATGAGATCTGTCATTCCAGACTGAGCTAACATGGACTTTTTCCCAAAATACTTTTTAGGAGCTACTTTTTAAATGAGTAGGAATGCCTCAATTATGGTGAGTACTCATATATACTTATTAATTAATTTTTCAGTTTATCAGCATTTTTTTCTGGTGAGTTCGTTTATTTACAACTCTTTTGCAGATATTAATTTCGAGAAATGGATAACGTTAAAGAGCATGAAAGGAGCATTTTTTGGTCAAACTGTACTTAGTGTAATCACGGGAGCGATTTTAGCAAAAGCCAATCAACAAAACATGAAAAGTTTTCCTGTAAATTTGATTTTGTTACTCTTTTACCTTCAGCACTTTTCCTCTAGAAACTAGAATAATTTAAGCCAAAAAACGAGTCAAATAGTTTTTGTTGTTAGCTTTACTTCATTTGATTGCGTCTATCGAATTTCACTGCATTCTAATCGTTTTTGGTGCACAATTATAATTCTACAAAAATCGAAGAATCCAAAGTGAATTGAATTGGATTAAGGTTTACTGAATGGAAAGAAAGTTAAATTTTCAGGATAGTAACATCAGTAATGGATTGAGGAAGTGTTTAACGAAAAGCATTTTTAGCGGCGCTGCTATGGCCGTCAACATTGGATTCATAATGTATTAAAGTTGAATGCTTTGTGGATGTACTGTAAGGAATTAGAAGTAGTTTCAAAGTGTAGCAGATTGCAGTTGTATGAGCTAGAGAATTAATTTGCAGGATTTCAATAACAGAATTTGCAAGATGGCGTGAGTATTTTTCGATTTGGACTGTTCCATGCGCTACGAGTAAGTGTTTTCAAACAAATTTTGAAAGAAGTTAGCAAATGCTACTATAAATACCACAAATACTACTGTGAGAAATGAGTAATTTTATTGAAGTTCAGCACAGTTCGATACTGGAGTTTGTCTTGGGATAGATACTAGAAATCTTGGGATAGATACTAGAAATTACTTAGCAGCCCCAAAGATGGCACTGTCGAAATGATTAAATTTTATGAAAAGTTATACAGATTTCAGTATGATTTACCTGTTTGCATATTTCTGTTCCTTCATTGAGCTAATTAAAACTTTCAGCCGTTATTCCAGCTATACTCAGTTATTCATTGAGTGTGAAACCCCTACAAGCGATGCAAAGTGGACTAATGTTAGGGTAGGTTTTTTTTAGTAGTTTTTTAAGTATCACTCATGTCTAGAATAGCATATTCTGATTTGAAAGTGTATTATGCATGCAGTAACATATAGAGAACTTTAGTAAATTCTATAAATTTTATCAGACTTCTGTTATTCTAATACCAATCCGCTATTGCATGAACCCTCATAATTAATGTATGTGAGTATCGCATGATCCATTAGAACTTATCAGTATTTTAATCAGCTTAGATTTTGTTGATAGTGAAATCAATTTTTTCTTTGCATATGGGACATTAGATAATGAAAAGAAAATTTTACTGAAATATATTGTACTGTTGTCATACATATTTAGTTATTTAAAAGCGAATCTTTCGCTTATTATTTAAAATTTTTGCTCAAGATATGAATATGAAATGAAGTTTTTTCTTTGCAGAGAGCACATTAGATAATTTCTAGACTTAATTGTAATTATTATCCTTATTTGTTGATGTGGAGTTGATCAGTGATAATATGAATGTATTTGTGCTTTCAAATGGCTTAGATCCTATCTCTGATCCTTCCATTTTTCTAAGGATGTTCCTAATTTTTTGACTAATTCATTCTTTTTCAAACATTAGCACAATTAATGCATGTGAAATGCATACTTCTTGGCCATTGAATGCTCACCAAACATAAAACATAAAGAAATAGAAATAGTTTGCAGGGTGTTGTCGTCGTTGGCAATTTTTAGTGCTTCTCTGTTTTACGATTTATCAACCGATGAGATATATCAATGTGTTAAGAATAACATTGAAATCGAATTGAAGAAAGAAAGAGAAAGCGAATTGTACAGATTTATGAAAGAGCATCATATTCGGAGTAAATGGTTTGGAAAGTGGATGTTGAATAGAAGTCGTGTAGATGATGATATTGATGATGAATTATTTTGATAAATATAACTGTTGGATGGGTGATAGTAGACATTATTGCTTGTTCTAGAATTTAAATTGATTTTTTCTTAACCTTTAGAAGTATGTATATATCTTTCAATAAGACAAATTTGAACTAGTTATGCAGGATATTCAAATAGTTGGATGATATTTAGACATTTTATCACCTCTTTTTTTAGCATGTTGATCTGGCGAGCACCATTTATTTGTTTTATATCAATCGTAAATTATTACATGCTCATTGTTGTTTTATAATAGTAGGATAATAATTTTAATATTTGTTACTGCATATATAATTTCCAGGGTTGCTTGTATTATTGTCAGCTTGTCATGTTGTTAAATTGCGTACGGATTTTCTATTATTGGTGCATATTAAATTATTCTGTATCCGATTTTGGAAGGTAGTGATCATGTAAGGGGCTCTCATGGATACTTTTCCGGAAAGTATCATTTTTTTCATTAGGTAAAGAAGATTTTTTTTAACATTTTCTGTTTTTACTTAATACTCTTAGTTTTTGAAATGATTAATTATGAACTTATAACAATTGAAATTAGACTTCCTTCATAAGAATTGGAAAATCATCGGAACGATACCTTGGTACATTTGTGAAATGAATGATGATAAGATGGAAAGACTGAGTGAAATTAGATAATCTACTGTAGCAGTTGGAGTGAACAATATCACTGATCTTCAAACTTTTAAAGTTTCTTGAAGAAACTAGTTTTTCTGAGTGAATTGGTCCGATAATTTTGATTTGAAAGAATCTTGTCGGTCGTAAGGAGAAAAATTGTACTAGCGCAAAAATTAGTGAGGCAGCTTTAACGATTTATGGAAATATATACCGAATTTTTTCCATTTACTTTTAAAGCACAATATTTTTTCCTTTTTTTTCAGCAGCTTGGATAGTATTTTTTTTTTTTAAATTACATCAGTTAAAGCAATGACAATGTACAGCTTCTATTCGAGAGTTGTGCATTATATTTTTTGTGAAGTCATATGTAACTTGTAAAAGTTTTAAACAACTATTAAAAAAAGATGCCGACATTTTAAGCTTACTGTAGATTTTTTCAGCTACTAACAGATTTTTAATCTCCTTTTACCTCACACAAAGGCAAATGTTCAATGATGGATAGAACTAAATATAGACAATCTGTGCAGCGTCATTCAAATATTGCTGAAGCATGTGATGCGCTATGTGGCATATCGTTACATTTTGCCCGTAAATATCTCTACTTAAGGACTGATCGAAAAGCTATATTCCATCTTTTGGCAGTTTTTGTATTATCACTTTTCGCTGCTTTTGTGCCTTTACCCAATCACTATTATTTTGTAAAGGTTTCTTTTTTTTTTTGTCAGATGAATTTTTGCTTTTTCTCAATAACAAATTTGCCCGTTTAATATTAGATTTATTCTTTTAATGTTTAATATCGAATATTTATAGAAGAATAATATTTTGAATAGTTATTTTGTTAAATTGGGTTGGTTCTGGACATGTGTCGTTGTCTGTCCATTTATTTGGTATATTTCTACTGCTATTGGGCAAAGCATGTCAGGTATGTCCTTTAGCTGTTATTTTCTTTTTCTTCATTTTCAGTTAATTTAAGCACTTTTCATTTTTCTGTTAAAAGATGCAAATTATATTAAATTGAAGTTTCAAATTTTCTATGTATTTCTTATCTCTTGGAATTATTCGTTTAAGTGATGATTTTGATTTTCTTATAATTTTAATGTTTCTATTGGAGGAATTCATGAATTTCAGGAATTATAAAAAATTTAAGCCGTATGGTAATCGCAACAACAATATGGTACTATTGCACTCATTCGTAAGATTTTAGTACTTTACATTTTGAGTTCTTTTTATTACACTTCTCACTTTTTATTTTTAACTTTATCACTGAAACTTACATATTATACTACATTTTCCATTTATTATATTAGTAATATGAGGATCTAAACGATATTTAGAGATCAGTAGTAACGTTTATTTTATGCGACTAGCTTGGCATATGTTTCAGATTTGTGGTATTTGAACAGATGACAGGTCACTGCCATGGATCTAAGCTAAGTTCTCGTTCATCATGTGCTGTTGATGGTGGCAAATGGATCCCTGGCTTCGATATCAGTGGTCATTGCTTTATCCTTATCTACAGTTCTCTTATCATATGTGAAGAAGTAAGTTATTTGTTACTGTCAAAAGGTTTGCAGGAATTTCTAGAATTTCTAGTTATCTTATTTTCAGTTTGGTTATATTTTTTATCAACTTTGATTTAATGTTTCAATTTTCAGGCATTAGCATTCCGCAACATAACAATAATTCATCGTACTCGAAAGATGCCATCGGTTAAAAATGGAAATCTTATCAGAATTTTTTTCCTTTCTATGTGTGTTCTTCACCTACTTTGGGTAATGATATATCATTTTTAGCAATAAAACACCAAGAGTTACTTTTGTGTTTCTGGTTTTCGGGAAGAAATTCGAAAAATATCTGATCAGTAAAATAGTTCTTCAGTGATTTGTAATGGAATCCCTAAGACGTAAAACAAATTTTATTAAGAATTTATTATTAAGAATTTATTAAGAATGCATAATTGTTAATAAACAATTCTGTCGACTTACGATGAATCTTTTTTTGACCGAAAAATTTGCGAATAAACAAACTTTCTGCTTACAACCATCTTTGCTATCAATTTTTAACATCATTTCTGTGATATGTGCATTTCTTTAACTCAGCTAAAATTCATTCTAAATTAATTTAAACATTCTTTTAAATAACTTATTTTCTTTGCAGGATTTTGAACTGTTGATTTCGGTCCTTTACTATCATCACATTTATCACAAAATGATGGGTGCAATAATCGCCGTGCTTTGCTGGTATTTTACCTATCATATTTGGTACAGGAAAGTTGGGATTCCACCGTTGCCACTACAACCTCGTAAACTGATATAAGTGACTTACTGATTTTTATAAGTACTTGATTTACTCTGATAATGGATTATCATTGATCCTATAGGTAATAAGGAATTTAAACAGCCAGCGAATCAAGAGTATGTATCCCTTACTGGCTGGTTTAACGTAAAACTGAATGTTGTGAAGTATTTAAATTACCGATGATTTTCGTTGTTTAACCATTTATTTTGTCTGTCCTACCGATTATCGCTAGAATTTATAGGTCTCTTCTCACTTTTTTAATTGAACTTTATGTAAAATGCAGCGAAGTAGTCATGAAGTTCCAAGGTTTGATTTTGAAGAAATGGAGATTTGCAATAATAATAATAATAGTGGGTGAGCCTATTCGATTTCATCTTTTCCATATATATTGTGCTTTATATATTTTGAAAAAAAAAAAAAAAAAAACACTTCAGTCCATTGTATTACAAGTAGGATAAAATGGAACGAATAGTTTCTGAATGCTAAATGGGCACAACTTTATGGTTAGAGTTAAAAAATCTTGGGACTTCGAACTGTTCAAAATTTACATGATTAGTTGACTCCATGCCAGTACATGCATTCTGCTTTATGCTTTTCTATTTTTGAAAGAAGAAAATACTTTAGTAAGCATGAAGAATATGCTGAATCATTGATGCTATCTTCAATGATAAATTTCTATGATATTCAAATTACTTTACAAGTTTTCAAATTAAGCCAGAGTAATAAAGCAGAAATTTTCTTTAATTACATATTAATTATATATGATATTATATCAAATGCTTTAAACTAGTAGTGATAAATGGCTAGAAATGTTATTTTTTGCACACAGGTTTTTATAAAATTTTTTAGAAGAATAGATCGGATTTTTTTTTGTTTGTGTTTTCTTTAACTGAAAATTACCTTACATTTTTTTGTAGACTCTCAATAAAAGAATAGCAAATAGCAGGAAAAGACATTTCAGTTCGAAATATTGAAGATGCTGTACTATAAATTTTAATATCTAAAGAGAGAACAAAAAGCTACAATAAAACACAAAAAAGCTGAGTTAGGAAAATTGTATCTTGTCATGGTCTCAGAAAAAATGAAGATAGGCGGTTAAGTCAAGCAATTGCAGTTCCTATGACTGGGAATCAAACGTTTTATTTCACATGAAAATCAAATTTATGCAATTCAAATAAAAGCTATAATAAAATACCAAAAAATAATTCAAAATAAATAAATCTACACGTATTAAAAATGCCAGAAATGAAACGAGGAGTTTGAAGCATAGAAAAAAAAAAAAAACAATAAGAACTGTCCCTCCCTACAAGCTATTCGTCATAAATTGTAGCTATTTCTGCATGCTCTTACAAAGGCTTTCGGGTTTTTTCTTGCGTGCTTTCAGAATTTGCAATACTGATAATCGGATGATTTGTTTGACAATTTTTGTAAGAAGTTCCAGAGTACAGCTCTTATTGAAAGATGGAATGTGTATAAACAGTGAACAGTTCTTGTCATGTCGAAGTGAGATATAGTAGGAATACGCACATAGATACCTGAGAATCATTTCGTATTAGGTTTCGTTTATATCAGAACTATTTTTGTATTAAGACTAAACATTTATGAAGTTCAAATTATCAGCAGACTAATCATTGGGAGGAACTAGTGGGATGGACTTAAGTTCCCTTACGCATCCAAGACAAAGTGACACCTTGTCAAATGTTGTTTTCATTAGGTGAGTGAAATTATCATAAATGAGTCACTATCTTAGATTACGTACCACCAGAAAGAATATGGTAGTTTGTGAAAAAACTATAATTTTTTGTGAATTATGAAGAAATCAAAAGTTAAAATGGGAAAAACATAGAAGCACAGTTCTAACCTTCCCGGATCATCAGACAACTCAAACTGTATATTTTCTTTGGCAAATTCCATCCTCATTGCTTCTACAAGTTTCGTGCAATTTAATCCAGTGTATATGATGTTTTCCTCTTCATTAGAAGAACAAATAGCCAGTGGACATCTATAGTCTTCGGGTATTCTTGCTGAAATTTGACCATTATGAAAAAAATGGAATGATAATATGAACAACAGTTGAGATTATAAAAATTTGAAAGAATTCAACTTACTGATCATTCAATATGCAAACAATATCAAAACAGCCAAAAAATTACATTTAATGTCGCCTTGATCATAGCCAATTCCACAGCTTCTTGTTTCTATCCTAACGGCACGACTAGTGGAATGAACGCCCAAATGTACAACAAGCTGCAAAACGATTTGATATGTCACTAATATGTAACTGATAAGCTCTAGTTATCTATATCATCGCTAATGTTGAGACTACAATGATTATTTATGAAAAAGTGTAGAAATGTAAACTGGCACTTCTTGAACCAGTAAAATATAGAAGCCCTGAATGTTATGAACAATCTCAAAGTCAGAAATATTTCTATGCCTTTAGCATAATATACTATTTACATAAACATATGTGAGAAAATTAAAGTGAGAAAATGTAATAATATCCTAGTGCAACAATAATACTAAAGGTTTTTAGCATTTCACGGTTAATAGTCCAAAATATGGTTAAATAGATCAATGAATGAAACTTACATCATGATGATAGTCCTTCTAGAGTTCAGACTCTGAAATATAGCAAACATATCAATGAATGAAACTTACATCAGGATGATATTCCTTCCAGAGCTCAGACACTATACACTGCACATCATCATATGCTACTGGCATCACTTTTACAATAATCCTAGCATTTGGTTGAATATCATCGATACCTTAAGTTAAATTTGACTATGCAAATTCATAATGTAATTTCTTACCATAACTACTGGAGTGGAGGCATTTGACCAATATCACCTGTACATCTATACCAAGAAGAATTATGAGTTTAATTCAATCTAGTAAAAAAAAAAAAAAAACTGTACCTTCGTTGGCAATTCGTTGTACCACTTTTTCACTGGGATTATTGTCAAAGAATCCAAATGGACCAAATCCCGTAAGAACAATTGTAAATTCTGATTCTGTTAAATTTGTCATACAGTTGGAAATCTAAAGCAAATGCATATTTGTGAAGATAAAAAACTTGTAATAGTTCAACATTTTTTTTAATGTAAGAGTAATAGTTCCACATATTATGGTTTAGGTCATCTTAGAAGATAAAAAATTTAGAGATGTATTAAACACTTCAGAAATGAAACAGCTTTTCTAATTCTATATATGCCTTCAAATTTAATACGTAAAAACAATGAATTATCATTCTGATTCTACTAAAAACTTTTTCATAGTGTGCTCTCGAGAAACATGTGATACTACTTGAACTATTGCCAATAATTAAATAAGTAGGTAAAATTACCTTAATAAGTAAGTAAGTAAAACTACCTTAATGATTGATTCTCAAGAGTACACTATAAAAACGATTCGAATCGTTCGAACTATCTCATCGATCATTTGCAAAATTCTTCACATACGGAACCATTGGAGTGGTTAAATGTTCGTTGTGAGTTGGAAATTATGTGAAAGTTAATTGAATGGAATAGAATAGATATTAAAATAGTGAATATTTACCTATACCTGTTTACCTATACCAAAAGATATGTATTATTTGATTATTTCATTTTGTAACATTTATTTGCTAAACAAAACTTTTTTAGCAGTGTAGAAGATGTCAGAAAGAAAATTAACATACAAGGAGCGTTCATCGATAACAGCTATTTTACAAACAGATCCACCATTTATACAAAAAATTAAGGAGAAATTAGGCTATAAACCACCGCCAACAATTGAAAATAAGGTTTTTTTTTTTCTTTTTGCATTAATTTTGAATTAATTAATTAATTGTGACTAGTTAATTTTTTATTTTATAAGTTATTTTTATAAGCCAAAAAATATTTGAATTGAAGGTAAAATTTTTATACGAGTTTAGAAAAGAAAAATAGTGAAATAAGATGTATTATTTATTTATGCAACAAATGATTATGCATTCGCATAATGACTAATATGTAGTAAATATACATCATGTGATAACAGACATTTGTGAGCGATTGGAAGTTAATTTTTCATTTTTTAGTAAATAAGTTCTAAATCATTGTTAATTGGTCAGATTAAATTACAAAATCATATACAAAGGTTGTAAATCAAATATAAAGTTTATTTTTAATGTTCTTTAATTGCTGACTAGATGCTCAATGGATTTTTAAAATAATATTGAAATTTCATGAGAAAAAACTTTGTTTAAGAATTTTCGTATCATTTTTATAGTTCTCTGAGACAGCGGGTGAAGGATATATTGAAAATGATCTAGAAGATGATGACTTATCACGAATTAATCAAGAGGACAGACCTCAGGTAACACTTGCTTATCTCCAAATATTCTTCTTAATCATTTAGGTTATAGTGGAATTTTCTTGAACGTTATCATTTAGGTCGTTATTTTGAATGCTCAAAGTGATTTGAATGAGAAGGAATTAGAAGCTGAATTAGAAAAGAAACGTGCTGAAGAAGATCGTAAGTTATTTTGAAGATTTCTCTCGCATTTTTATGTTGTGGGACTAGTTTTGGATTAAACTGAGGAAATTTCTTGTAATGTTTGGGAAAAATGCATTTTTCAAATTTATCGTACTGCGAAGTGCATTATTATAATTTGAAGCTTAGTTAGGTATATTATAATTTAAAACTTATTTAGAATGAAAAAGAAATGAAATGTTTGATAGATATGAATGTCTGCGGAAGGCTTCTTTTAAAATTTAAATGAATATATTTTTACAGGACGAAAAATTGAAGAAGGGAAAATAGTTTTCAAAAAACCAGTGAAACGGAAAGAACAACACTCTGAGGAAGAAACAGCGGGAAAACGAAAATATACGGAGGAAATAAAGGAGGTAGCCGCGTCGAATTCAAGATTATTGTCGTTTAACGATGAAGAAGATAATGATTGATTGGACAGCATTTATATAAGTTCGTAGTTTTAAAAGTTTTTGAATAGTTTTTTTTGTTTCTACCTTGCTTTAATGATTTTTCTTATTGGTTTCATTTCTTTTTCAATTGTTTTTGAGAGTCTCATGGTTAATTATCGATAGTTAGACAATCAACCGTGAGCCATAATAAGCCATAATCAGCCATAATAAGTTAACTCTAACTTTCCTTCATGTTATTAGTGAAAAAGATTTGGAATTCAAAGTATAATCAATTTTAGATGCCTACATAACATGATTGACTGGTTAATTCTACTCTAGTATTTAATTTTTTGTTAAATGTGTACTTTTCCGCATCTTTGGTTTTCCTCAAAATCACAAGAACTTTGGTTTGGAATTTAAAGTATAATCAGTTTTGGATGCGTACATAACATGATTGATTGGTTAATTCTACTTTAGTGTTTAATTATTTGTTAAATGTGTACTTTTTCCACATCTTTGATTTTCCTCGAAATCACAAGGACTTTGGATCTCTCACTTAATATACATGATATGGTCGGATTTATGTTTTTATTGATTTTACTGTAACAAATTATGATTGTACATGCATATCTGAAATTAAAAAATTGAGCTCAATTTGTGTATTCTTGTCAGAAATCGATATAAATAGACTTTTGAAGAGAACGTACTTCTTTTATTTGATTAAATAAGCCCACTTGGGATTTAGCTACAGAAATTTATAAGAACATCCACTAGCTAAATTATATGAATTCTATTTTGAAAGAGCTAAATACTGCTAAAGATTTCAAATAAAAGTGAAAATATAAAGAGCATTTTGAGGAATTCTCATTGTTTATGCAATATGAGAATGAAATCCAGGGAGATTTGAAATTGCATAGATTGAACTGTTCAATTCAAAATGTTGTAACATGATATCCCAATGGGATTTGTGTGTGAAACAATTAAACTAATTAAGCTAAAAGAGTTTGTATATTTTCTTTTAGTAGCTGGATAGTCAATTCTAAACTATTGTGGATTTGTAATGGGCATTGAATTTGCATAGAATTACTTGTAAAATTACAATTGTAACAATATTAAATATGTAATATTAAAGAAGTGTGTGAATGAGAAAGTACCAACAAATATAATTTATTCAGCGACTAAGAATGTTTCTTTTACACCTGTAATTATATGTATTTCATCTTCTTTGGTCTTCTAACTTTTCTTCTGTTAATTTCTACGACAGCATTCACATGAGATCAATCGACATTTCTAATTAGTGAACTTCTTACTTGGCTCATGACATCCTCGCAGTAATCATAAAGTGCTATTTAAGAAGTAAGAATTTTATCACTGAAGCAGACATTTTTATTCATATTTTATAACGGAAACATGGACCTCTTCTTTGGATCTAGATTTAATATAGTGATAAAACTCAGAGCTATTCAGTAATTTTCACATTTTTTCAAACAGATACAGCAACTGTGTGCTATTTTTGGTCATTCCTCTCATGAATGTATTTTTTTTGGTTCATTTCAGCCGGAATTTTGATAGATCATTCGAAAAAAAAAAAAATTAAGGCCATTTATTTTCACTTACCAAAGTTCTTTGCCCTTTTTATAGGCTAATTTTATCTTTCCATTTTAAATATTTGCAATCACAAAATAACTTTAATCTTATCTCTAAGTTTCTTATGGCACCATATAATGCAATGTTAATATTGTTAGTTTCTTCGAAGCTCAGTACGAGAATACCTAAAATACTCTACCAAATAATAATGACTGGATGAATTGTATCAGAATTTTGAGGAACTTTTACTAGGTGCAATGTTAATTAGTGTTTTATGAAGAACTGTTCCTTTAACTAAGGAACGATGTATACAATTCGAGGATACTGATGAAAGTTATTATTTCTTATGAAGAATTATTTATAATTATCAAAAACAAAATTTCTGTACAATTTTCATTCAAAACAATAGCACAAATAAATCACAATTAAAGCAGCATTTACCGTAGAATGTTTCATTCCTCACTTTTTAAGTTGAATTTACCATTTAGTTCCTGGCTGTTAGTGAATCGAACACTCCTTCCTTGTCTTCGTATAAACTTTTCCTGTACCTAATGCGTTTTTCCTGGGAATTGAAAACTTTGATGAGAAATACTTCTGTCATGTCTTATGCTTCTGCTGTGAAAATTTTGGAACTAAAACATTCCCACTACCAAATAGTTTTTGAATCTCGAGAAATACTACTGTTAAGTATTTAAGTCAAAGATAATATTACACTAACTTTTTATGTAATATTATTATCTTCGGAACTTCCATGGAAAATTATTGTTTTTCCGCTATTTTCTCTACGTGAAACCTTTTTTTTTTAAAGATTTCCTTTAATCTTCTTTAAAGATTCCTTTAATGTTTATCTCCAACACTTTTCTATTTTCTCATAATTCTATTCCATATATCATACCTCTTGTTCCTCATTAGCCATGTGGCTCTTTATTTTTCTATTTTATCAAATATTAATAAGCAAATAAATTTCAAAACTAAGAAAGTTAACTTACATATTTACTCTTTTGGTAAAGTAAAGTACCAATGAGCAATACGGTGAGAAAAGAAATGAGCACAACAGCACCAGCTGTTGTATATAGTTTTTCTCTTGACCTCCTCATCGGTCTATCAATTCCTAATGCAATTTCTTCGTCTTGATTTTTGACATCGACATGACGAAGTAGTCGACAATACTGTCGATTTGCTGGTGTTCGAAAATACGGACATCCCTGAAAGTCCCAATATTATGACAATTTCACAGATTTATTAAAACTTATTTAAGATCATGACCAATAGCACTGTTTGTAAAAATGTACACTAATAAACATTATTTTGCCATTTATCATCTGATAATATAATCTGATACTCTCTATTTCCATCATTTATTATTATTATTTTTTAGTTCGCTAATTTCCATCTGCTTTATTTCAGTTCCAGATTTTTGCACATTTTCTTTTCCTTTTGAAAAATTCGACAAAGGAAATTACCATCGATGGACAGTAGTATGAGTCCTCAGAAAGTACAGCTAATGAAAGATTGTAGGTAGGTCCAGTCATCAACCGATTCCATAACCATTTGGTA